TAAAATGAATTGATTTTTACTTGAATCTCCATTCCGAATAATATGAGATGAGCCAATACCTAACTCTTCTATATTAACTGGTTGAAACAAAAGCTTATTTTAAGTGGATGATTATCCCTATTTATCCTGTTTAAGAGGTGAGAATTATCTTCCGATACACCCGCAACTAACAAGACTTGAGAGGAACACGTATGTCAAAACAAGGACTATGTTACCACAACATTAGCTTGGTCCTTGTGGTACTTGAAATGCCTTCAACGCCTTGTACATCAAAGAGGAAGGTGCCCTGTCTTACATATGCCTATTGTAGATAGGAAATCATCTATACTAATTCTCTACTTGAAATGGCTGAGTGTCTAGGCTGAGCAGCGGACTGCTACCCACACCTTTGAAGTCACAAAGAGGTTTGATTAGGAACTATTTATCATCATTAAATAATAGTTGAAGAAGTAGGCAGGGATTTGGGGACTTACGCTGTCACTGAGGAACAGACAAAGTAACAGTGTTTTGGGTACGGGTGAAGATGGATTCATTGAATTCTTTTCAACTGCTGTGGTATTTTTATAGGGCCTATGATAATGGCATTTAGGTATGGTGTGATTAATTGAACTCTGGCTCCATGGAAGGAGTCCATTTGTGATGACAATGAATGAATGAAATGAAGAAATTGAAAAGGCTTGGAGAAAGTTGTCCTGATTTATACTGTAAAGGTCAAACACAATGGTAGTGGATTACTGGTAACATTAGCAACATAAAAATTGCTGAGTTGGTAGATCCTAAAACGTTCATTTAGGCGTTCATATTAGGTGACTAAACAGTTATTAGTTGGTTTACAGAATTTTGTTTTGTTCTTATATGTTGGTGGTTGAAAAAAAGAAATTGTCTTCAAATGAACATGCCAGTGGTCAAAGTATAATGTTAACTAAACTCTCAATTAACATTCCAAATTATCTGAATTTATACCCCTCAACTGCACTCATGAGGCACTTTCACCAGTTTCCCGCCTGAACAACTGCAAAACAAACATCACATTGAAAGGCCATAACTCATGTCAGTCTACATCACTTCCAACACTTCGCTATGTATTTTGTATTTTGTCATAATTCCTCTTTTATACATAAAATAATATTTTGATATTTCATGTTCACTTATTTATATATTTACTCTTTAATGCCATTAGGGTCGTAATAAAAAATATGAGAAAGGTCATTTAAATTTTACTTTCATTTTGCTATTTTTCATGTCAGCTGATTCATAAACCAACAACAACAAAAGTAATGGCCTAAACCTTCTTGACAAAATTTAATATTTTTGATCACCCAACATAAGCACAACCACAGTGTCAAAGGTATTTTCTTTTGTGTATGCATTAACCTTCAACTTGAAGAATGAGCAAAAATTACAAAGAAATTTAAAAAAAATATTTCTAGCAATATTAATTGGTTTTTATCTATCCATTTCCACATGCTCTTGATGACAAACAAAAAATGCTGTATGTTCTTATAGCCTACATTATGACCAAGCTCGATAAATTCTGTGCACATGTCTCAGATATCTCCTTCATTCACATAAAAAACTATTTTTATTGTAACATCTCTGTTTAGACGTATGTGAGACGACTGATATGGAACACTTGATACATAAACACTTGTAAACTTTGAGGATGCTGAACCAGATGATGGCAAGTTTTTCAGATTTTATGTACACTTCATAAGCTCAGTTTGTTTATGTTTAACACCACTCAGCAATATTCCAGCTATATGAAGGCAGTCTGTAAGTAATTGAACCTGGACCAGACAATCCAGTGATTGACATCATGAGCATCGATCTACGCAATTGGGATACGATGACATCCATCAACCCAGTCAGCGAGTCTGACCACCAGATCCCGTTAGTCGCGCCTTACGACAAGCATGGGTTGCTGTCATGAGCTGGGGATTTCCATTAATTATTCAGTTTAAATACCATCATATAAAGTAAATATCGTCGATTTACATATATATGAATTTAATGTTAATTTTCAAAGTTTTCCAAAAGAGTAAATTCCAGGCAGTGGTGAAAACTCATTTGAGTTTAATTGAATCAGATAGGCCAGACTTTATCATTTTCAAAACAAATTATGTATTTTTGGTAGTTCGAAATGTTGTTTTTTAAATCAAACTTCAGTTTTTTTTATGAACACACAATGCCTTTTAGAAAGTGGTCAAATGTAACAAATATTATATTTGTGATAACACTTTCTGATTCAAGTACACATTCTCATACTCTTTTTGGTTGAGTCCTGTCCGGGATTCAAACCCACACTGCCAGTTTTTTGGCTTTTTATGTCCTCAAAGTATTGAGTCAGTAGGAAAAAAGATGCATGGACACAGTAAGGCAAGTTTAGAGTTACCTCCCATCCATTAAAGACATGGATACTTTGTGGTTCATCAGACTTTGTTGTGTTTTGAAGTTTTCAAGGTAAATTTTTCAACAGCTTTTAAATAAATATTGATAGTGATAAGTGATATAAATGAGGGTGTTTTTTTAACACTTTACATAATTCTTGTCGATGGAATAATTATGGATTCATGAACCAAGCTTAGAAATAGTATAGCCTTATATCAGAGCCTGTCACCTTAGTCAAGGAGGAAGTCAATAGTGAAGCAGGTCATAGACATTTACTGGTAAAACCCACCAACATCTGTATCGTGCTAAAATCACATGACCTTATTTCAATCACAAGTCTTCAGGATAATTTTTTTTTCCAAATATTATTATGTTAGTTAGTTTAGGCTCCCCCCAAAATTGCTAAAAATGATGAGAGTTATTGCAAAAATACCATACAAAGCTATGGGCCGGCGTTTTCTGCTTTCTGATATATGTGTTACACCCAATCTGTGCAACTGCCCATTGCGTGCAATGTGCTAACAATTATCTGCTCATTTCACGCAATGGGTGTAATTTAGTAATTTAAATGTTTTTAGTAATGGTTGATCGCATTTATTTGGTGCTCATTAAAGTCTACATTTAGTCAGATATATTATTTTCGAGCCATATTTTATTTGTGTTTTACATTAGTTAAGAATTAATGATTTAATGTTGATGCATCTGTGTGTGAAAAAAAAATCAGTGAACAGATCTCTTTGTAAAATAACATGGTGAAAAGATCCTTATAAAATAACATTTATCCTTTTGACTTCTGTGAATAAGATGTTAAAACTCGTACACGTCACTGTCCATTGCATGCATTGGGTAAGGTGTATTGCCCATTTTTCAACCCAAATACAGCCACTTACAGTTCTGTGGTCATTTCTACCATCGTCATCACACATGGATTTACCTGGTCCCATATTGCCTATATCTGTGAAGATGTACTCATATTCAAGAGATATTAGATTGGTTCGATGCACAAAAGAATATACTGGTATATTGTGTGAATCGACTCCCATGGACCCATCACACGTGACATGACAGACCCATGACTGGAGATGCTCCATTTGTCTCGTGTAAGGATTAGTGTGTAAAGTCTGGAAATCACGTGCAGCATATTGTGATATGAATAAAAACACTCTGTGGTAACACTTGACTGATTGTTTGTTTTGTCATCAATTGGTACACATTTGAAACATCTCTTCTTAACGTATATACTTCTCTACATGTTTCTTAGGTTCATGTTTCTTTTGGTGCTGAGTATACTTCTGTTCCTTACATAAGTTACTGTCAGACATGACAACAATCAAAGACTGGTGAAACTCACAGTTCTGCAGCTGTTGCAGACCAGTGTTTGTCTTTCCAAAAACATGTCCCATTTGGCAGTAGATGTTGGGTGAAGACGTGGACCAATTCAAGGACACAATCCAAGTGGCATGTTCTTTACTTTCAGTATAAATTTTCATCCAAATGAGGACAATTCATTTGGTAGTCACTGGTTAAATAACTTCTAGACAAGAACTATACTAGTTGTATTACAACATTACCATGGCTTTATTACAGCCATATCACAGTCATGCTTCAGGAGTATCACGGTGGTGGGTTAGCCTTGTTGTTAAAATCCCCTGTTCGCTTCCCGACATGGGTACAATGTGTGATTCCCAATTTTGCTGTCCCCTGACATGATATTGCTGGAACACAGTTAAAAGTGTAAAACCATACTCACTCACTCCCTCACTCTCTTCGGCCATATCTGATGGGTATTATGATCATATTACAGCTCACCCGTGAAGATCCAGGTTAGAATAGGTCTTCAGCAACATGTTCTTGCTGTAAGAGGCGACTAACAAGATTGTGTGGTCAGGCTCGCTGACATGGTTGATGCATGACATCGTAACCAAATTGTGTAGATCGATGCCCATGATGCCAATCACTGGATTGTCTGGTCCAGACTCGATTAATTACAGACCGCCGTCATGTAGCTGGAATATTGCTGAGTGAGGCTTTACACAACAAAGAAACAAACATGTACAGTTAATAAAGACGACAAGCATGGGACACTTGAGATGTGCTCGCTAACTGTGTCATGTACTCTATATCTTACCAAAGTAAAAACATGACAACACACACACATATTTATACAATGAGTGAGTGAGTTGGGTAAACACCAGTTATGTCACAGCATGCCAGCTGCTTGTGGGAGGAAAGCCTGAAGTGATGCAGGTCCTGACAAGCCAAGCATCATATTGAGGGTGAACCTGACAACCTGGCTATGGGATTAATTGTAGACTACAGAGCCTTGGGCCCTGTACAGAATCCAGGCAACTGTTGTACATTGAAAACACACTAAATGTCCCCTTCGTATAACTAGTGGTGTCAGAGATGGACAAAGTTTAACTACACCACTCACAAAATAAAGTGATACTTATATATTTGGTCACAAACCCAAGACAGTTTGCTTACATCAATAGTAGACAATTTTTCTGAGAGTTGTCCTTAAATTCATATAAGGAACAGAGGGCTCTCTGTGTTCATCCTGGCTCATAGGGACTACAAAGCATCTGTCAGAGGCAGAATAATGTACCTACCTATGTCCTCTCCCAGGTCTGACAATCCACCAGGGAACTTCCACAAATTAAACTGAAATGATCAACAGAGGAATAAATTAATTTGAAAAAAATAAACATGTTATAGTGATTTTACTGTTGCTTCACTCATCTTGGCCTCGTCATCGTTGTTTGTTAGTTGTTTAACACCACACTCAGCATATTTAAGCTACATGACAGAGATCTTAAAATACCCGATAATCGCATCTGGACCAGACAATCCAGTGATTGACATCATGAGAAATCGATCTACACAATTGGGATACGATGACATACATCAGCCAAGTCACCAAGCCTGACTGCCCGACGCTATTAGTCGCCTCTTAAAACAAACTTGGGTTGCAGGAGACCAATTCTAACCTGTATCTTCACAGGGGAGTAACACTATGTACTATACCTTGGTGCCCTTAGCTAGATCTAGGCAATGTAACTAGTACCTGTGTGAAACTGACACACTGTCTCTGTATAACAGTAAGGATAATTGGTAACTACCAGGACCCGTGAAGATCCGGGGTAGAATAGGTCTTCAGCAACCTATGCCTGCTGTAAAAGGTGACTATTCTTGTCGTAAAAGGTAACTAACGGGATCGGGTGGTCAGGCTCGCTGACTTGGTTGATGCATGTCATTGATCCCAATTGCGTGGATCGATGCTCATGATATTAATCACTGGATTGTCTGGTCCAGACTCGATTATTTACAGACCGCCGTCATATAGCTGGAATATTGCTGAGTGCGGCATTAAACAACAAACCAACCAACCAATTGTAACTACCAGACAGAAACACATAACATTTGAGTTCACAGTTAAAGACAGTTTTGAATGTCTTGCATGAAACCTACCTGGCCTACAAATTCACTAGAGCCAGGTAACATTCAGTGGTGGTAACAAAATTTTCAGTCCACTGGTTCTTATAATGACAACATATTGCAAAACCCTTAAAAATGGCAAATTTCTACTAGACCTTGTGATACCTTAACTATTGGGCAGATTGGCAAGGACTACAGGACTAGTGGCAATTTCTAATGCTGCTATTAATATGTTTAAGTATCTTTGCATAAGTTATAAAGTCAAATCAGACCATGGTGACATTTGTTTATTTTTCAGTTGTTAGATTCAGCAGAGAGCCACAGTGAGAAAGAAAAACATACTTTAAATTGCCTGACCACTCCATCTTTGACAGATTAGAAAATAGAAAAGGTACAACTTAAAACATACACAATATAAGTAGCCATGAACCTCTTAAATAACAAGTGATCAAGAGAATCAAAGGCTACTTCAAACCTTTCATAAAGAAAGCAAAGACTTCTCAGAAATTCACACGTTTCTGTAATATGTCTACACATTCTCTACTTTCAGCAGTACCGGTATTAGCACCAAGTCCAACAAAACTGACCAGCCCAAACAACTTCATACCAAATAGAATTACAAAATATTGAGCTTCACAATCTTATTTTATTAAAGCCAACCAATGCATATTGTTTAGCTAATATCTGTAAACAATAAAATGGAAAATGTGTGGCCTAAACAATTTACACCATGACACAAAACAAGAAACATCTGAAGCCTCAGGAATCTCTCTTTTCTAAGTAAGAGATTGATTTTAAGGAAACAATTATTTTAGATTTAAATATCGAACCAGATTTATTTGTCATCATTTTATTCTAAAAAATCACAGGCACAAAATTAACTTTTAACCAAACCAAGCAAAAAATACAATGGACAACTATTCAAGCAACTTTCACCAATCACAATAAAGATTAGGATCCTAAGAGTTGTCTCCCATTAATGTCAATTCAATTTCTCTTGCCCTTTGATTACCAAATTCCATCATTGTCTCCACTTTCTACTTGACCAGGTCACCATGTACATGTGGAAGATGCATCTATATTGGACTTGATACAGACCCAAACCTGCCAACATTCCAACCCTCACAGACTATTCTAGTCATGCAGGAAAAATCAAGGGGTACATTCTTTTGAAATTTCTGTTACAGCAGAGTCATGATTCATGATACTTTGGGTACAATATAAACACTGAGAGTGCAGTTCTGCCCGTTCTTCTCTACCTTCTTTACTTACCTTGCTGTTTTTATCTTTTATGACTAGCACCTGTTGAAGATCTTGTCTCACAACAAACCCTGGAGAAGAAAGTTAATACATAAGCCATGTGTCAGAAACCCACAAGAAACAGACATCATGATATCAGTTGATGTCTCATATCAACGTAAAAGATTCTGCTCTGTACGATTCAGATCGAAATAGTCATCACTTTTTTTAAAACTTGGATAAAATATAGGAAAATAAGTAAAATGTGAAAAAAAACCTCACTTCCTATCACTATCAATATGAATCAAATATTTAATCTACTATAATTAGAAACTGTCAAAAATTTATTTAAAATCTGCAAAAACAACTGATTATGAAGAATCAGAAAATGTCTGTGTCTATAAGGGAAGGGAGGGAACTCTAAACTCCCCTCACTCCATCGACACATTTTCTTTTTCTTTTCTTTTTTTCTATCTACATAACAAAATACCCCATTCTCCCACCCTACCACACCCCAAACAAAACTATGGTAAGTACCTGATGCTCCAATTTGGTGGGTGGCAAACCGAGGTGTCCTGTCGGACTGGGAGGAGTTGAGCCACAGCTTCAACATGGCCTTGTCACCCTCCGCATGGTGGAATGTGAAGCCGTGGTCTACTGCAGCAGCGATCAGTCGACTATGAGTTAGAGGCACCTGTAGCCACACTGCTGACCTCTCCTCCGCCTTCCAAGACTGTAAGCACACTGTGTAACAATGTAACATTAATGCCCCAGGACTGTAGGCACACTGTGTTACAATATAACATTAATGCCCCAGGAATGAAGGTGTTCTGTGTAACAATATAACATTAATGCCCCAGGACTGTAGGCACTTTGTGTAACAATATAACATTAATGCCCCAGGACTGTAGGCACACTGTGTTACAATATAACATTAATGCCCCAGGAATGAAGGTGTTCTGTGTAACAATATAACATTAATGCCCCAGGACTGTAGGCACTTTGTGTAACAATATAACAATATAACATTAATGCCCCAGGACTGTAGGCACTTTGTGTAACAATACAACATTAATGCCCCAGGACTGAAGGTGTTCTGTGTAACAATATAACATTAATGCCCCAGGTCTGTAGGCACTCTGTGTAACAATATAACATTAATGCCCCAGGACTGTAGGCACACTGTGTTACAATATAACATTAATGCCCCAGGAATGAAGGTGTTCTGTGTAACAATATAACATTAATGCCCAAGGACTGTAGGCACTTTGTGTAACAATATAACATTAATGCCCCAGGAATGAAGGTGTTCTGTGTAACAATATAACATTAATGCCCCAGGTCTGTAGGCACTCTGTGTAACAATATAACATTAATGCCCCAGGACTGTAGGCACTTTGTGTAACAATATAACATGAATGTCACAGGAATGTAGGCACTTTGTGTAACAATATAACATTAATGCCCCAGGAATGTAGGCACTTTGTGTAACAAGATATCATTAATGCCTCAGAAATGTAGGCGCTCTGGATAACAATATAACATTAATCCCCCAGGACTGTAGGCACGCTGTGTAACAATATAACATTCATACCCCAGGACTGAAGGTGCATGCAGATATGTTGTGGTTATGGTTTTAATTGTTTCAATAAAATGTGTGTATGTGTATTTTTAAAATGATCTAACTTGGGGCTAGTTCTCTTTGGCATTTTTGTTCAAATCATTATTACATAACAGGAGCCATACAGAACCAAGCATGTATAACACAGATTACCAGTGTTAGTAATCTTTCTAAAACATTCCCAACGAGGTATGTACAAAACATAAAAGGTTATCAGTTTGTTGCCAAGGATTTGACCAGATACGAGTGTTAAATGGCTGACATCCGAAAATGTGATTGTGGTTTGGTCCTAGTATATAGCTTCATGGTATCCTCTTTTCACCTGCATCCAGCACTTGAACTCGATATTGGTCTGTCTGTGTCATAGATGACCCCGGGAAGGTGCAAGTAAAGAGAGGTCTCTTATACTGTACTAGGACCTTATATTTCCGTGATATTGCTGGAATATTACTTAAAGCGGCGTAAAACCATACTCACTCACTCACACACTATTACTCTAAATGAATAATAATGAGTTCATGCGCACTCAGCATATGTCATATTCTTGTGCCGTCATGAGTGTCAGTGAATAGATGAGGTACAATGACAAATGGGAAAATATGCATCCCTCCTCCCTGCATCCTACTGGAAAACCGTATCTGCCCCTGAATCCTGAAAGGCAGGGAGATGCTAATGCAAATGGGTTGTGGTGAAGAAACAATGATGCTTAAATTTGATCAGAAATTTTGGGGTCGGAATTTTATGAAAATCTGCACTGCCCTCTCCCTGGTCTGTTGTGTGTGGAATTTGTAGTGTACATGCAAATAAGGTCTGTTATTGTATGCATGGTGCAAGAGTCAGAGGTCAGAGTCTCATGTTGGATATTGACCATGTGTAAGCAGGTATCAATGGCGGCGCCCTGTGATCTTTCATTGAAGATCAATAAAGTCTTCGTTTCACTCCATAAACCATCATATCATTAGTCAACAGACCTAGGAGCATCTTGGACATTATAGAATTGATGCTGTTGTGTACCTTTAAGTTGTGTGTGGAATTGATGCTGTTGTGTACCTTTAAGTTGTGTGTGGAATTGATGCTCTGTTGTGTACCTTTAAGTTGTGTGTGGAATTGATGCTGTTGTGTACCTTTAAGTTGTGTGTGGAATTGTTGCTCTGTTCTGTACCTTTAAGTTGTGTGTGTAATTGTTGCTCTGTTGTGTATCGTTAAGTTGTGTGTGGAATTCATACTCTGTTGTGTACCTTTAAGTTGTGTGTGGAATTGATGCTCTGTTGTGTACCTTTAAGTTGTGTGTGGAATTGATGCTCTGTTGTGTACCTTTAAGTTGTGTGTGGAATTGATGCTCTGTTGTGTACCTTTAAGTTGTGTGTGGAATTGATGCTCTGTTGTGTACCTTTAAGTTGTGTGTGTAATTGTTGCTCTGTTATGTACCTTTAAGTTGTGTGTGGAATTGATGCTCTGTTGTGTACCTTTAAGTTGTGTGTGGAATTGATGCTCTGTTCTGTACCTTTAAGTTGTGTGTGGAATTGATGCTCTCTTGTGTACCTTTAAGTTGTGTGTGGAATTGTTGCTCTGTTGTGCTGGCTGGAAGCTGGGCGAGGTTGACAGTCACACCATTGTGCTGATCCTTCTCATATTCTAGACTTGTCACTCCACGACTGACCGACGTCCACAGGGGCAACCGGCATCTAATACATCTTAGGACATGCTTGCCCGCTGTCTTGTACAGCGCCGCCATCTTCTCAACATTGAAAGCTGACAAGGTACAAGCCAACAGTGAGATTGGAATGTAACAGTCCCATTTACTTTAATTCAAGAAGTTGCTAAAATAATCTGCTGTGCTATATTTATTTTAATACACAAACATTCGTGCGGCAATGATTAGCAATGTTTGTGGTGGTTTGAATAGCAGAGATCATTCTGAATAACAAATGAAAACTGGAGGGTCGTATCTGACAATTTGTTTTTATTATTACAAATTTAGCAGAGATCAATAGCAGACGACAGTTTAGAAACTTTATATGATACAACAGCATCAGATCAGTTATACAACTCGGAACGTGTCAGTCGCAGTATTGTTATTACTTAATTTGATTTCTTGTAAAATACGATTAAATAAGCTCCTTATTATGTAACTACCATATTGCTCGTGGCTGGCAATATATTCTCACCTGTCCCAGTTGTAGACAGTCGAGTTGTCAATGACTCAATATCCTTATCAGGTGTTAGAGGATATTAGAGTTATCTTCCCTTTAATGACCGTCTTCAAGCTCCTACGCAGCGCGTTACACTCTCAGTATAATATAGAGAGCTCAGTAGACGGGCTATCGCTGTAAGGAGTTTGAATTGTCTTTTGTTTCGGTTTTATTAACGTTGTAAACGGAAACGAAATCAGAATGATAAAAATAAAGCCTTCAGTCCCGATATCCGTTCCTTTCGGAGGGCCCCTATCCAAGTATTTCTCATATTCACAACTGTCATACAATATTACATTTTTGCAATAACATAATATTGTTATGCTTTCAATTCCTATGAACATTCCAACCCACCAACAGAAGCTTGGCTATTTTGTAGGATCATTCAAAGTATACAACTTTGGATCACCACTGAAAGTTAGTCTTCACATGCTTCCGTAACACAGTAACTTGTTATTTGTCAGTAAATAAAAATATATAACCCCCCTATATGTTCTCTACTAACATATAGGGGGTATATATTTTTATTTACTGACCAATAACAGGTTCCAGTGTTCCGTGCCACGCTTGTGATCGGGGCTTAACAGAGTGTGCTTTTTGACATCATCATATTGTCTCTGTAATTTGATTAGGAGACAAACGTACTCTGTTTATAACGTCTGGTTAAGCGTCTCCTACCACGGTAAAATTAAACGCCAATCTTTGGACAAGGGTGAGTGATGGTTCACTTTGTTGCCGACTCCAGTTTGACGCCGCACTCAGAAAGGAGTAGAGCGAAGTGACTGCCGCCTGTAAATAATCGAGATTGGACCAGACAAAGCAGTAATTCATAGTATGAGCATCATCACGATACGAAGACATGTTGGCGAATGGGTCCAGTTAAGTGTATTTTTAGAAACAGAAGGGAGATACGGTGTATAAGAGCGCCCTTGACTATTAACGTTTCAGAGCCCCGTTCCGCAAAGCGATCGTAGCGCTACGACAGTCGTAAGTCTATGTTAAAGTATGGGTCACCTTACCGCTACGATCGCTTTGTGGAACGGGTCCCAATGGTCACCACGGTATTCCAGAGGAGGCGGGGCAGACGGAAACACTGGTTCCTTATTTCAGACTAACTATTGAAGGCAATGGTCTTCACGGTCTGAATGATGAGGAGTTTTTAAAACACGCGCCGCTCTTACATGGTTACAATCTGTGACGTTACAAAGTTTTTTTTGTCATGGTCAAAGGGAGACACCTCACTCATTTTTATTCACAATATTCAGAGTTTGTCAAGCTCCTCACAGCGATAGCCCGTTCGCGGAGAATCGGCGACATTTGCGTTGAGTTGACACGAAATATAAACGCACATAGATCTATCACTGTTGAAAATGAGGTATGTGTCATTGTTCACATTTCACCGATGTGACGACCACTTTAGAGTCTCGAAACAGCTTAAATAATGTTTCCTTCACTAAAAGTAGCAACGGACTCTCGTGACGTATACATTGCAAGAGCATTTATGAAAATGCTATGAAATGTTTTGAACCACACGTTCTAGCGTTTTTCTATAGTAAATACATATCGTGTCCGCCATGTTTGTCTTGTGGAGGCCACCATTGTGCAGTTATTGCCTGGGTCAGTGTAGCCAGGGAACATGGCTGTTGGCAGCGATGTTACAGAGAGTATAACGTAGGTGTCACGCGCTAGGAAGGAGCTTGAGAGTTTGTGGTCAATGGGAAATAATTTTTTAATTTGAAGTTTACACGATATACGGCTTTTCCATTGGACGAGAGGTCGGTCACATGACCGCGAAATTGACGTTCATTAAAAACTGAACGTCAGTTTGGATGGGTTCAGTGAAGTGTGAACGATTTAAAAGCGCTGGTTAAACTCTGTGAACCTCCGAGCTTGCCAGGAGGTTCTCACGCAAGTTAAACCAGCGCTTTTAAATCCATCCAAACTGACGTTCAATTCTTATAACTTCATACTTTGTAGTTTACTGGTCTCGCTAAATAATATTGCAACACAGTGATTGCTTACTTCTGGTTTCTCTAGTTCTCTAGTTTCGCCGAAGAACATTGCAACAATGTTACTTGATCGGTTCTCGGCTCTCGGTCACATACGTTTCCCCACTCACGATCAGTTACGCAAAGAAAAATAGTTCTTTGACTATATACAACATAAGCCGAAAATACATAATTTTATTCTCTGAACAAATGGAAAAATAATGTTTGGAATTAATCTTATCTTCAAAAAGGTAACAGGAGAGTAAATATAAATATAAACATGACCCGATGCCCTGAGGCGAGGTCCCTCGTCATCAAAATGAAATTCTAAAGAACCAGGTCTCAGCTGAGAGTGAAATTCTAGGCCACATGAAACAAAATGAACAGCGATGTCGAACCAAGCTTTATACAGAACACAGAGTGGACTCTCGTGCGACAGATAATCTTGAATTTTTGTCATATCGCCATTGCCAATAATTGGCTTATGTTGTGTTAGCATAGATTGACCGTTACGGATATTGGATTTTAATTTTCCGTTGAGAAGGTCATTGGCACGTTGGAATTATTTGTTCTTTACTATGTCTGTGTGGCGACCCAACAGCTCTGATATTTTTCGTCGTGTTTCTATGGTACTCATCGGGCACTGGACCCTTGCCACCCTTCCTCATGTGCCGCCGCGTCTCGGCGTAGGATGCACGGAGAAGGTCGGCCAACTCACAAACCGGAATAGTAATCCAGTCTACGGATATTTTTCTCGTCTCCGATGACCTATCTGTAAAACAGGTAGGCAAGTTTTTTTCAGTATTTATAGTAAATTTAAGTTTTATTCCTTACTTTTTAATGTCTTTATTTATTTAACGCTAGATTAGATCTAATTAATTTTATATGGCTTACCATTGAACATTTTCAAAGCCCATTTAGTGTTTTTCATTGTTGATTTGCTTTGCCTCTGTTTCTCTAAATCTTGGAGGTTTTCTTCCAAACAATAGTAAATCGGGTTTTTGGTTGGGGTTGATCACTAGCAGTCTCTTTGATCTCTGCGTCGGCGGCCACATCTAAAAGGGCTACAACATTGTTGCCACTCACAACTGTCTTGATGCTAGATTCCTCAGTCATTTCAGTGCCTAGGCTGACATTGACCGTCTCCATCAATCTATGAATTTACCTTTGTGTCTGTTTGACGCATCTTTATTTACCTTTCGACGATCGGCCAGCTGATCAATGATGACTAACACATGTAACCGTCACAGGTTCATTAACAACTTTGGAAATCTCTCCCGTCACGTTTATCGTGTCGGCCATTTTGACGTCTTGTACTTGATGTAAATGTATTACGACGCGCTGTCATTGTTACTGACTTATTGAGGTAGTTCTTTACAGACCTTTCTCATCTAATGAGGATATGATTTGAAAACATGTGCTGCGTAAGATGTTTCTGAAGAGCAAGTTGTGCATCCATACGCCAATGTGACCTCTCTTTTTGAGGAACTATTTTACTCCGCGATATAGCTGTTTGTTGTATGGCTGTCAGTGTAAACATGAAGTCACACGTACTAAATAAAATTGTGTTTAGATTGTGTTGAGATCTTGGCCTACATCCTTTGAAGTAAGAAGCTCCGACGTTCATACAGTTTGGCCCTCACTCTATGAAGGTTCATACTCCAATGAACTCACACAAAGTGAAGGTCAATTCTCAATTAATTTTGGTAATTTGACTGTGTTCCTGTCTGGATAAAACCGCTCAACTTGCAGTGCATACAAACAGTAGAACCAGTTTACTTGGTAATGTCAAACGGAGTTACGTCCCTTGTTCAAACTCCTTTCAGGGTCTACAAAGCAAACTTCAGACTTTGCGTTGTACGAACTAAGTTACGACGTCATTCGACCTTGTAACAAGGGAGATAACCAGTAATTCCTAAGTTCTTTCTCAGTGCGTGAATAGGCTATCGCTGTGAGGAACTTGAATTTCCCAATAGAACTAAAAAAATCCACACGATGTGGAAAGTTTAAGTTAACACACTGTACGGAGTTCATACAAGGGACCTTACTCTAATTTAATATTAGCTTATCATAACACGATTATCTCCCATTGATGGCGCGGGACTGCTCGCTGCCTTCGGAAGACCCCGCCTTTTGAACAACGTTAATACAAACGTCTCGTGTAAGTTATCTTGATTAATTGTTCGTTATTTATGTACGTCTATTGGGACCATGTGACCACATTTCATGCCACACACACACGGATGTTGTGTTGTTGCAGAAAGGCCATGGTAGCTCTGGCAACATGGGGACGAGCGCTGTCCTGCTGGAAAATGTGTTGTTGATGTGCAAAAAATGGAACAACGTGGGGTCTGATCACTTGGTCGATATACCACTGAGCAGTGACGCCGTGTCACCGACCTTGACCAACATTCAGAAAGCACATGGGTCGAAGTCTCGCATTAAGTCCATGCCCTGCCTATATCATGACGCTAGGTCCACCCCATGGATCCCTTTCCACAACGTTTCTGTCAGCGAAACGATCACCTCGACGCCGCCAAATTCTGACTCTTCCGTCTGCATGGGAGACACAAAAACGATCTTCATCAGAGAAGATGACACGCCTCCACTCACGATGACGTCAATTGTGATGACCCTGTGCCCACTGAAGTCGTGCTTGTCGATGCCGTGGTTGGAGAACAGGACGCCGTGCTGGTCGGCGACATCTGAGGTTGTTGGAACGGAGACGTTGGATCACAGTGTCCCGGCTAATGTGTCGATTATGTGTTCCTATGGTCTGTCGAGCACTTTCACTTGCAGTTAGGAACGGATGTCGCTGGTGTTGACGGGTAAACTGCCGATCTTGTCGAGGTGAGGTGACCCTAGGACGACCGCTCCGAGGAAGGTCATCTGTGGTCTGTGTAGCATTGTATCGATGCAGGAGACGGTAAATTGTGGTTATGTTAACGTTGAAATGACGGGCAACATCTTGGACAGACTCTCCAGCTTCCAAACGTCCGATAGCCTTGTTTCTCTGAATTTGAGTTAAGCGTGGCATTGTTGACCAAGGAGGTGTAGGTCCAAGAATAGGCCACAGTTTTAT